TTTCCCGATGCTTATTGCCAGCGCTTTCCGTACATCTTGTTCATGGGACCCACTATTCAGTAACAGTTCCACCAGTTTAGGACTGCTTGCTTTTTCACACACCTATTAAGGAAAAAAATATATATATAAGCTTACTAAAAGCCTGTACCTCTTCCCTCTGGGAGACTGGGACATTGAAGCTGGTGTCATTTTTCTCTACACTCTTAAATTTAGATAGAAACAAAATAAAATAAGGCAAAACTCATTCTTGAAATAGACTAGGAAAATAAATAAGATTAGCACCATCCCTATCAGAGTAGCATAAATCATATAATCTGCCACATGGAAGTCAGTTATCATGAGAGAGGCAATATAATATGGAAGCTCATAAACGTGAAGTTACGCAAGTGCAAGTGAGGCTTACACTTTTCGGGCATGTTTCTTCATTGGAAGACATCTGGCATACTAGTGCCTCAACACAGTAAATGCTTACTGCCCCGTCTTCATTTGTAACAGAATATAAATATTATAATGTTCGTTAATGCCATGTGCAAAAGACAGACATCACTCATTTCTGGTTTTCCTGAACTCCTGTGGACAAGCATCTGAATTATCGCACAAAGATATATTTTGTCTCTCAGTTTCCCACCTTCCTTCGAGTGTTGCATTTTCAGAGCTGTGTTCAGGTGGGTTAGATCACTAGTGCTACAAAAGCTAGTGTCCACTGTAAGCAGAGAGAAGCCTACACTGCCTGAAGCACAGCACACTGGCCCTGCTCAGGAACAGCTTCTCTAAGGCATGGAATGGAGTGTTTGACAAATAGAAGATCAAAGTCACAGATAGTGGAAATATTATATGTCAGATACTGTGCTGAATCCTGTCCAGATAGGATCTATAATCCTTACAATAACACATATGTAATACCTTAATCAATAAAGAAAAAAATAAAATAAAGTAAAACCCTATGCCACAGAAATGATTACCCATTTTATAGATTAATATTTAGAAAACATGTGTGATTTGTCCAAACCCTTAGAGATAGTTGATAAGAGACTTGGAGTTAAAGTCAAATCTTCCGGCTCCAAAGCCTGTGCACCTTTCACTACCCAAAATTAAGGACAAAGGAAAGAAAAGAGAAGAAGAGAAAAGAAAAGAAGACCCTAAGATCCAAGGTACCAGGTCAGCAGTCTCCAGCATCACCCACCTTCAACATATTCTCCCTAGAGCCACTGAAGTACCTTTCTACTGTGGATATGACCAAGTACGGTCCAATTTAAAAATCTTCTAAAACTCCTCTGCTCCAGATTCCCCCAAACACCACTTGCAATTTTTCAAATCTCATTACCTCCATTTATGCTATTTCTATTGCCCTAAGTGTCTCAACTAAGCTCTTCACCAACAAAATGAACAAAAAGAGGTTCGTTCTTCAAGGAATAGCTTCCAAGTCTCTTGCACAGTGAGTCCTTGCTGTCAACCTCCCAGGCCACACACCCCCTTCCTCCTCCAGTCTCCCATCTCACTTTGTTTCACATAGTACTTAGCCCACTAAACCAGACAGGCCCATCTGTTTTATAACTAGAACGAAAGGCATGAATGCTATTGTAATTCAATTTGTACCTCTGTAGCCTAGTGCAATGCCTAAGAATATATGTAATTTAACTAGAAAAATTACTAAAATCCTCTTTAAGGGCCCATAGGGAATTTGGGTAAAAGGGAGTGAGGGAGGGAGAGAAGGGCCAAAAAACTCAATTACAAATGCCTTCTCTTACAGGCCAGCCAACTTTTATCTCTATGTTATGGCACTTACTGCTCACTTTGTATAACGATTTATGTTTTATTCTCTCTCCTCTCACAAAATCCACTTGGAAAAAAATAAACATCTTGAAACAGGTAACCCCTTTCATATTTTCTACTAATTATCTAGCACTGTGCTTTCCACATAGAAGGTGCTCAATACATTTTTGTAGGGATATTGTCCTTGGGGGACCCAAACAATCCACACTGACTTTATGCACATGGTACCATGAAGAGAGAGATATATAAGAAACTGTAGCCCTAACCAGTTTGGCTCAGTGGATAGAGTGTTGGCCTGTGGACTGAAAGGTCCCAGGTTCGATTCCGGTCAAGGGCATGTACCTTAGTTGCGGGCACATACCCAGTAGGAGGTGTGCAGGAGGCAGCTGATCGATGTTTCTCTCTCATCGATGTTTCTAACTCTCTATCCCTCTCCCTTCCTCTCTGTAAAAAAATCAATAAAATATATT